GAATCCAGAAATAATGAATTCATTATTTCAGGATTTAAAAAACGTCCATGATTAGTGAAATCAGCCAACGACTGTGCATGCTTGATGAAACAAGTAATAAATGTGCGTCGAAAATACTAATAAGTGTATGTTGCTCTTTCTATTCAATATTTTTGTTTTTCTCTTTCTTTTCAAAGCTACAAGTAATAATCCTTTGACTTAGTACTAGAAGCTTCCTTGCAGATCCGATGGATAATAATTCTAACGCATCTTAGAACGTTAACCTGTAATTCGGCCCGTTAATCGAAGAATATGATTCAGCTAAATTGGTAACATCGTTATCTTCCTATGAGACCATTCATAACAGTTACTTATTAGACTACCTGCAGTTAATATACGGAAAAGTGTTGCATTTCACCTCCAAATGCGCTACAAAGTTCAAACATCGCTTTGATACTAAAAATGGAATGTTGTCTGTATGATCACATATTCGCATTATCCATGCTATAGATCCACCCAAAAAGGAAATTGATTAGAATAACCTAGGATGATAAATACGATATGTATTTTTCCTCTAGTACATGAAAAGAAAAAATTTTGTGTATTGAGAATTAAGAAAATAGTGTGCAGCATCCTCTCTGACATTCCCACATACACACTTAGGCGAATCGACACATTTGTGTTTAAATAAATAATAATTAAGCTGCACAGTTATTAGCTTGAAACTAACACACATGATAGATAAATTTTTTGGTAGAAAAATTCGACTTTTGCTAGACAAACATTTCTTTTATGCTTGAGTGTTCTTTCAAAAATTAAATTTTTCCTTTGTTTTGATAAGCATATTATTGTATTCTTTCGTGCTGATAAGCCCAAACCCGTATGCGACCTTCGTTTCAATACTCTTAATACACAAATTTTTTCTTTTCCTGTACTGGAAGAAAAATATGTATTGCAGTTGTCATCCTACGTTATTCTAATCAACGCATCATCCTCAGTTCACTTACAAGCTGTACCTACAAGCAGTTCACTTGATATAATATTGTTTTTGTTATATTGTCAGCCTATCAAACGGCTAATCAATGGACAACTTAAAATTCAATAACTCGGGAATGGAATGAGTTGTGTGGGCACAAATCATTTGTAGCTTTTAGCATCCATCAGGTAAATGAGAAAATACTAGTAAAACAAGATTAGTATAATGAGTGATGATTTTTTCGTTTTACTTTTGTGTAGACTCCAGCTCAGTGTCTCTCACTCTCTCTCGCCTATTCTCGAGAAAATAACGATATTTCTCTCTATATATCTTGTTTTTGTGATGCTAGATAAATTATTCAATTGAATTAACAAATCGTAGTCATAATTACCATTTAGCATTCTAAATAAGACGAAGAAACACCATATTCAGCTCTTATTGTTACATTACATCTGACTCAAGTAAGTAGCCTATGCATTGACACTATACTCTCTATTTTCTTTGTTATTATTCGGGGGTAGTCCATCACTAAGGTGCTCATATGTATCGGATAAATGAGAAAATACAAATCAAAAAAGACTAGTGTAATAAATGATAATTTACTTAGTTTGATGGAATTACGATAAGAGATTTTTGACGCCCGTGGTGCCTCGCTCTTCGGAACTATTTTTTACTCTGCTTTTTTCGACACGCGCATGATGACTAAGATGCATTCTAGCAAAAGACTACTTTAGTGGCGAAATTTAGGAACTAGCACCAAAAACTGCTTCGAGCTTTATCCTGGATTCAGAGTCATGAAAGGGTGTTCGCAGATATACATAGTCAAGGGACCTACCTAGTGCAGACACGCGTTACCTTGTATCGATAAGACCAAAAAGGAAAACGCATATTTGTTTTACGTGAATATGTTTACTGCAGCTGGATAAAAAACATATCGACGATAATATCAGGTACATAAATTGGTTGTGCCAAATATAACTGAGAAGAGTTAGCTGTCCTGCTTTTCTTGACTGCTGCCTGGGGACATCTATCCTCGGCCTACAGAAAACGTTTGCTTAGCTTTTTGTCTCTCTGCAGCAATAGATATTTCAGATCGTCTCTTTGAATATTTTCTCCTACTGTAAAAAATAATTTTCTACTTCTCTCTCTTGTGATTCGCCTATCCATAGAATATCTAGTACCCATTTTTCCGTAGTTTGCGGACACGCACACAGACAACCAGTTTGTAAGACGCTAGACTAAAGTCAAGGGAATATGCTTTTATTTCCCTTTTTATCATTGTTTGTGATATTCTGTCTACATAGGAACAAGGTAACGCTCGTCCCCACTCGCTCGGTCCTTTGACTTTGTTAAGTTGGATCTGCGAACGCCCTTTGGTAGACTTTTAAATCGAACACAATGCTCAAGCCTCCCTTCGGTCGACGCTCGCTGAGGCCCTACCTAAGGCATCTTCTGGACTTTTTCTGTTTTCATGTGTAAGGTTCGGAATCTAATATGAACATAACGAGCAAAAATCTCAAGAGGTCTAAAACTATTTCTGAATTCAAAACAATCCTCACGCTTCCCTTCTGTCGGCGTTCGCAACCAGTATAGATAAGAAATGCTATGAACTTCTCTGATTCCAACGGAAAACCATCTAATGTAATAGAAATCTAAAAGGTTTTCTGCACACCCTCTGCAGATCCCAAGGAGGGTGGAAGTATTTCTAATCGATTTGTTATAATAGATTATCTATACAGTGTCAATTTTATTACCCGTATACCACATTTTTGGTTTGTCACAGTTGACTGCTATCTGACGACATCTACCCCCGGCCTACAGAAAGCGTTTGCTTAACTGTTTACCTCTCTGCATCAGTAGATATTTCAGATGATCTTTTTGAATATATTCTCTCTTATGTAAAAAAATAATTTTCTACTTTTGTCTCTTGTGATTCGCTTATCCATAGAATATCTGATAGCCATTTTGCTAATAAAATAGGTAGGAACAGTGTTGCTAACATTACGCGTACGCCTTTGTTCCAAAGCGTACGGTACGCGAACTAAATTGAAAATACGCTTTGTATCAACCAATAGGAAAAGACAGAACGATAAAATCCACGAATTGCCATGCTTATGTACGCGCTGCTCAAAAGTCTCATTAGAAACCCTGGGTAGGAAAGAGTATAAAAAGCTGAAAACAATAGCTTATAGACTAGAGACAACGGGCTGCATTGCGGTATCCGCCAAATTTTTCGTAAACACAGTTTCGCGCGATACTTTAAAGCTAAATTTGCGCTTTTTATAGAAATTCGTTTTTTAACGGTTCTTGAGCCAATCTCGCGTTTGTCGAGTTGCATTGCGTTAAAAACGCGTTTTTTACCCATTATTTGTTACAGAAATTTGTCATAAATACGTTTCGTACGAATTATTGATGGCAAAAACGCGGTTTCGATTAAGGCGTATATTTAAAGCTCAAGAAATTCGCTGTATTCATGGTGAAACTGTATATTCTCGCGCTCTATGAACGGTAAAACCGCGTTAAAACTAATTTTCAAACATATAGGTGACTGACTGGGAAGGAGTTAAATATTTCTTGTGCCTTTCTTTATGTAGGTGAAATGTTTACAATTCTTGAATATAAGACAATTCACTCGCTAAAGCCTTTCTCTTAAGAACAGTTAAGAAATAGTCTATCGATTACGCTTCAATAATAGTTACTAAAATCGTATATTTTTCTTAATTTTTTGTCATGTTTGGATATTGCGTTGGATATTTTTTTTGAGTAACTCTAGAACGAAGTGAAATGAAGAACATCCATTTTCGTTATTTGGTAGAGGCTTGAGAGCATCTTCCTGATATAGTATCCACGGCATTCGACTGTCAAGATAAGTGCATATCAAACCATCTGACTACGACACCAAACGTCCATCTACAACTGAAAATATTCGTGGCTTTTTTTGAGCTTTGTCCTTAGCCATTCTGCTTGCGCAACCGCTCTTTCTCCGTACAGAAACCTCCTTTCTTGTACGCATTTCTTATTTGAGATGCGAACAATTGAAAAATCCAACAATGCTGTATTTGTGATTGTTGAATAGAGATTATCTAGGAAAATGTCAGTTTTTACTCTATAAAACGACTTTAGGCAAAAATGAGTGAAATTTTTAAAAATTAAGTCAACTTTTAACCTTTATCATTACTATCGAACTACTTTTTTCTGTATTTCCATGAAAAGCTAAATTTGTTTGAATCTAAACTTAGAATGGCAAGAAAGTCTTTGAAACACAGTTAGAATGCTCTGAACGATTAAAACTATCAGTTTCGAGAGAAACTTTTTCATTACGAATATGACATTGGTCTTGCGAAGAATCTGAAATTTTATGCTGAAAATCACAAAGTACCTGTGTTTTCCCTTACTCTGAGCCGTTGTTTTAAGAAAAAATTATTTTATCACCAACTATTTAAACTTTCTAAATCCAATACATGCTTTATTCTCACAGGTATAGTGGTCGGAATGAAATCGCTTAATCTTTCTACTGGAAAAAATCAAACAGATTTACGAGATGGTTCATCCATAGGCGAGTTTCAATTCTTGCCATTTCATGCTTAACTTGGTCGAAATTTTGCTTTTTATATTCAGTTTTTCTATCTTCGTCTTTCAAAACAAACTGGGTAGCCGATGTAATGTTGTAAAATTATATCAAAAATACAACAGTAAAATACCTTCTGAGCACCCGTTATTATAAATTATTTGAGTAACAGACTTCGTGCTATAGTCTTGATAAACATCAAGTTTATTTACATCCTTTTTTTTAAAGTGTCTTCCTTCTTGTGCAACGATCATCGACATAGGTTCAAATAATTAACGAAATCCTTCAGAATATAAAGATCTTTTTTTCTGAATATTTCTAAGGTGCTGGACAACGACTAAATAAAAACTAACTAATAAACTAAATATGAATACTATTTTCTAAGAAAAATCAGCATTTCATTCATTGATTATAGGTTTAGTTAGTGATTGATTTCCACTCAATATACGACAAATTCAACAGCAATCAATCGAGCCAATGAGTGATCCAAAACTGAACACAGAAAAACAAGCAGTAGATCAGATATCAACGGGATATTTTAAACATTTTCCATTATCCTATTTTCCATCAATTTATGTAACGGATGCTAAACCTCAAATAACATTACCATTAGATCAGCTGAATTTATATTCAGAATATAATTGGAATCAATTTAATGATGATTTTAATCAGTTAACATTAAAATATAATAGTTCAGTTAAATGCTTATATTTTATTCGTCATGCCGTAGGTTTTCATAATGAGATGGAAGAACGTGTTGGAACTGAACAATGGGAACGAGTTATAGCAAAAACTGATCAATTTTTCGATGCAAATCTGACAGAAAGAGGAAAAATGGCTACGAGATCGCTACGTGATAAAATATCGTTAGCAATGGAACAAGGATTAAAAATTGATATGATTGTCACAAGTCCATTATCTCGAGCGATTCAAACAGCTGAAATAGCACTCGAATCATTATTTAAATCCAACACAATTCCTGTCTATTCACATGAATACTTACGCGAAACAATGGGTATTCATACGTGTGATAAACGACGAACGAAAAGTGAATTAGAATTATTATATCCACATATTAATTTTGATGGTTTAATATCCGAAGAAGATACATTATGGAATGCTAATGAACGTGAGACAGATGACAGTAGACTTGAACGTGCAACAGAATTTTTACAATGGTTATGGAAATTTGTTGATGCGAAACATATTGCTATTTTTGGACATAGTGGAATTTTACAAAGTTGTACAATTGCATTAGGGGCTATTGAAGGTGGTCTTCTATCGAATGATCGAGGATTGGGATTCAAACTAGGTAATTGTGAATTTATTAGTGTGGTAGCAAGACAATATAATTCGAATCAAGATGATCTAACGGACAATATTAGTCTTATTAAATGCAAAGAAATTAAAGACATAAAACAGTAAACTGAAATAATATTTGTTTTCAGACATAGATGTGGAAAATGTCAGTAAAAATAAACGTAAACAAGAATCTTTTGTCAAAACATGAATTCGGATGCCTTTTATTATCTTCTTTCACGTTTTTTATAATACTAAAGAAACATACGAGAACATGAAAATCGGTTTCCTACTATTTCTACAAGATTTGAATTTCAAATGGTAGAGAAATTTTAATTAAGGCTAAATATTACCATACTTATATCAAAGTATGTCGTTTAGCGGATGACCAGGCTTTCCGATCAAAGGGAGGGGAAGGCAGAGAGGTGCTGATCCCTCTAAAATTTTTGACGTTTTTCCACCAGGAACTTTCTGCCAGAAAATTTCGAACACTTTTTTTCGTTAGCCACTTTCTGCGAACCAAAGTTTTTAGCCCCTCTCATCACTAAGAACAATCGGAAACCCTATGGATGACAGTATCGGTGAAGTTCCGTAATTGTTTCAACATAACGAACGGTCATTATCACTTTTTGACATCTATGAGAGTGTACATAATACAGATGACTGATGATCAATAACTGATGAATTATCAGTTGAGAGTTTCGCTCTATTTTGGACGTAAAGTTTCGCTCTATTAAAAGACGTGGTGCTATACGAAAACAACAACATCATAAGGGGCAGAACTGCCAACCTTTTCCAAAAGAGTAGGATTACTTCAGTTAGTAAAAGAGCCAACACAACGAGCACTTTCTACGACGCAACCAGATTCTTGCGTTGATTATCTTATGTTCTGTGATGATTCAAACTTAAACCTATCTAGTTTTTTGTATCAAGAGTTACAGCCCTCGTTTGCATATCATTAGATTCGCTGAAACTTCAGCTTTAAAAGTACTACTCGCTTCCTTTAGAATTTAGTTTCGTTGCTGAGAAAATTCATTTTTTCTAAATAAGAGGCGAAAAAGTCAGAGTTCTCTCCGTAATTCTCAATTTTCTCCACTAGAACTCAACTTCTCGGCAACAAAAATATCATATCGGGAATCAGAAGCAAGCACTGAGTGTGTATTTCGAAATTTTTTGTTGATTTTTCAATTTTTGATGAAAATCCTCAACGTGAAAATTCGAAAAAAATGAAAATAAGCGGATAGGATAGAAATACACATCAGTCGACTCAGTGCTTGCTTCTGATTCCGGATATGATATTTTTGTTGCCGAGAAGTTGAGTTCTAGTGGAGGAAATTGAGAATTACGGAGAGAACTCTGACTTTTTCGCTTCTTATTTAGAAAAAATGAATTTTCTCAGCAACGAAACTAAATTCTAAAAGAAGCGAGTCATACTTTTAAAGCTGACGTTTCAGCGAACCTAATGATATGCAAACGAGAGGTGTAGTTCTTGATACAAAAAGCTAGATAGGTTTACAAAACTCGATGCCGCCATTATAACGGGAATAAGAAAACAAAGTAGAAAAGAGAAAAGAAAAGAAAATCGCTATTTGTGTCGCAGCTCTAATAGTCCATCTATTTTCTCTCTTGCTCGTGCTAGATATAATCTATTTTTAAACAAGCATTCACATGTGAGTTCTTAAGCTAGTTTGAGTTACACTGATTGTTCCATGTTAAAAAGTGTTTTTCTTCAACGTTATATTGATTAACAGAGAACTGTGATTAAAGAAACATTTATTTTGTGTTTTGAATTATGTAGCAAATATTCCATTTGTTTTTCAAGTTTATTGCTACCGGTAACGGTAACCGGTAAGAACCGGTTGGACCGGTAACGGTAACAGATAAGGTGCGGTTGGTCCGGTAACGGTAATCGGTAAGGTGCGGTTACCGTTACCGTTGCATCCCTAACTACTACGCAGTGCGACAATTCTCAAAAAAGGAATTTTAGCAACTTTCGAGTTTTTGTGCTGTATCGAGTTTTTTCGATTTTCGACATGAAAACAATTTTTTGAAATTTTAAGAAATATTTTTTCTTGCTCAGCTCAACGAGCTCTATCGAACGATGTATAATAAGTTCAAAAACATATTTTCTCAACTTTTGCATTACACACATTTTACATAGAATACATGAAATACATATATAGGATTTATTATAGAAGAATTATATAATATTTTCGAAAGTGATGTAACGTCTAGTAATTGCTATCGAAGATCATCTTTATTAGTTTCAAAGGTTGTATGCGAGTTCTATACTAGACTCTTGCTACAGTTTACTCCTGATTGTCCACTACAGTAAATATATCGTTATTACTATCATTGCTAATAGATAATTCGTTCATTCTTCATTTAGGGCATTCAAGAATTGTCTTGGATAGTTGCTCAATAGTGACTTGTATTTCTTTACTAAATATATCTGTATAATTATCATTGCTAATAGACAATTCGTTCATTCTTTACTCAATGTTTCTCAGAATTGTCTTGGATAGTTGTTCAATAGTGGTTCGTATTTCGTTTTTGAATACATCTATATCATCGTCACTGGTAATAGATAATCCGTTCATCTTCAAGACTTGTCTCGCATAGTTGTTTAATACTCATTAGTATTTCTTCTCTAAATACGTTTATATCACCATCATCATCACTACTAATAGATAATTCGGTTACTTTTTGTTTGATTCTGTCGTACAGTTGTTCATTATTTATTCGTATTTCTTTTTTAAATAAATCATTGTCGGCAAATGTTAATACAAGATGTTGTTGTTCAGAATCTTTAACTAAAGCCATTCCTAAAGACACAAATGAGACAAGTAATGATACATCCATCTCAAACAATGATGTATGAACATTACTATTATTATTATTGTTATTATTATTATTATTAATAGGAAATAGTTGATCTCCTTTATGTAACCAGTCATCAATAAATTTTATTATAATTTCAAGTTCATGTTTATCAAATGAAAACAATGATTGATATCCACTGTATACATTTATATTTTTAGCTAATAATAGAAATATATTATTTAAGAGAAAAATAAAAGTGTTTTTATTAATTTCATACATCATCTAATTTGCATCATATATAAAATATTGAAGAAATGGTTGAAACATATAATGTCGTATATTATCTAATAGATAATGACTATCAGAATATTTAGATATGCAAGAAGTAATTTGACCAATATATATTGCTATGTTGGGTGTAATTATATTAAATTCATAAAGTGATGGTAAAATGAAAAAAATTTAATAAATATTTCGTCTTATCAAGAAGAATATAAAGATTGTCAGTATCTACTAATTGATTATATGTTTTACTAATATAGTGATGAAGCATTTTAATAACATTCTTATGAAATATTTCTAATAACAAATCATTTGTTGAATAATCGATGCATAATTTTGTTACGACAAAATCCACATACACAGTTGGTATTTTTGCCCAGTTTTCAGTGACTAATCTCGTTGCATATTCTTCGTCATTTAGTGCTAATTCTTGAATTAAATCATCAGTAGGCGAAATTGGTGTTATGGATAAATTCGAAAATACAGAGAAAAATTACCAGTTATACATTTTATTTGATGGCTCTACTAATGTTGTTGATTTGTTAACTTTTTTATATCTCTCTAACCACATTTTAATTATCCGCATTTTTTTCGGTGCCAATTTATTGAGAAAATCCTTATTAATAAAATGTTCTCGAATAAAGTTACATATTTGTTGACGTTTTATGCACGAAAAACGAAGTAAACAAGACAAAATGTGAATAAGTAATTTTTATATGCATTATTATCTTCTAAACATTTTTTAGTATATTCCAACACAATAACACACTCTGATACATTATTAAATATTATTTTATGCAGCTGTAAAACTAGCTAGTCATCTCGTATCGTTTAAATCGATTTACTTTGACCGCTCATTAACGACATCACGCGTATAATTCACTAATTTGCTTATTTTTAACTCAAATAAAATTATTTGTAGAGAGAATTATTTTGCAAGTTTATAGAGAAAAATATTTTCTACAACATGTGCTATTTCATGTTAAAAATAATTAACGCCTTCCGTCGAGAGCTTTTACATAGCATAGTGCAATACTTTTCTCTTTTGTTTTTTCTTTCTGTTCGTATAGACTGGCCGACTTTCGTGTCGATGTTCATGCAAGATTCTTGCCTCTTGCCAATTCAGACAAGAATCTTTCAATTTGTCTTGATAGATCAGACAAGATTCTTCTTTTAATTTTTTATTAATTTTTCATCTTTTGTTGTTTTTGGTGAAAGATTCTGAAATGGTAATATTGGTTGACAATAAAATCACCAATTTGTATTGTCAATCCCACGCTATACATATAAGTTATAATACATATATAATTGCTCCCATATATATATATATATATATATGAAAAGAAACGAAAAACAAAAATAAGTTATATATGCACTGATTTTGTTTGTAAGATTCTTTTACGAATTACAAGACAAGATTCTTGGCTGAAATTTCAGTTTTATCATTTTAGCCAGAAATGAATTCTTGAAAAAGAAATGAGTCTTGGCTGGAATCACAAGATAGAAATTTCAGTCAAGAATCTGGAGATAAAAAAGTATCCAAACTATTTAATAGGATTCTTGACTCAAATGACAAGAGGTAACAGTCTTGCAAGAAATAGGACAAGAAAGTCGACCAGTGCAGCGATAATGTATATGTAAAAACATGCTGAACAGAATGATGTGCACCTCGTCAGCTAGCTGTTAATCATTTTTTAATATGATGTAGAGAATATTTTTTTCTACAAACTTGCAAAATAATTGCAATAATTGCAAATAATCGATTTAAACGATACGAGATGACTAGCTAGTTTTAATTAAACGATAACAGAAACATGCAGTTTTTCATGCGCTATCTAGTGGTATATTTAAAGTTACTTCTGATAAGTTCAGGATGATAAGTGATCAATTTTTCTGTAAAATTTGACTAATTAATCGAAAACACAATTTTTATTAGCCAACTATAAGTATTTTTTATAATTACTTTTTTTCATCGTGTAGCCCAGATTTTGCTCTATGGTATACGAAAAAAACTTCTATCTGTTCGAGTTGTTCACCACAGCTATTTATCAAGAATCAACTGATACGGGTCAGTATGTGAAATGTTGGAAAAATGTTGTTCCTAACAGGTATAAAACTGGACTAATTTATATTTCGGCTAACAGGACCTGGAACTTATGCTCATCGTATGAATTACTACATAAGGAGTTACAGTAGGGGTGTCATTTTGCTTTACTTTACCAAGTAATAAGTAATAAAACTCATTATTTATTATCAGACCAACCGTGTTTAGTAATAGTCGTGGTTAGGCATGCACCGGTTTCGGAACCGAAACCGATCATAATCGAAAATGTTGCACGAGTTCTTGAAAATACGTTTGACACAATATGAAGGAAGTATCTGTTGTTCAATCAACAACTGTTCATCCGTTGCAAGAAAGATGCACGGTGTACAAAATCAAAAATAAGCCAAAAAGTGGTATTTCTGATTTCTCACCATGAAGGAAGAGCTGTCTGAAATTGAGTTTAGCAATAAAAGTATGGCAAATTTAATTTTCTAGATTTTGTCTGGTGGGTGCATCTTTATACAAATCGAGCTTCACAATGAAAACTGATATTTACTGCTTTTAATCGTGAAGCTCGATAAAGATGCACCCACCAGACAAAATCTAGGAAATTAAATTTGCCATACTTTTATTGCTAAACTCAATTTTAGACAGCTCTTCCTTCATGGTGAAAAATCAGATACCGCTTTTTGGCTTATTTCTGATTTTGTACACCGTACATCTTTCTTCCGGGATCAACAGTTGTTGTTGAACAGCAGATACTTCCTTCATATTGTGTCAAACGTATTTTGAAGAACTTGTGCAACATTTTCGGTTATGACCGATGTCGGTTTTTATGGGGTAGGGGGTGGGTAGGAGTGTCATTTTGTTTTACTTTTCCAAGTAATAAGTAATAAAACTCATTATTTATTATCAGAAAGCAAGTAATAAATCTTGTTATTTTATTATTTAGTACTTTTTTCATATGATAGTCTTTTATTAACCTACTGATTAATAATGATAAGAAAAGTAATAAAGATTTATAAGTAAAACGATAAAACGGTATTAGTTGAAGAAGTAAAAAGTAATAAAACGACAAGATTTATCACTCGTTTTTCGCTAATAAGTAACAAATACTTATTGCTATCCTAAACATGTTGTCGATAGTGGAACACAGAAACGTATAAGTAGATTAATTACGCAACAGAAAGAACAAGGAGTTAAGAAAGTTACATTAGTTCAGAAGAAAAAGGTCTTCGCAGTAGTCCCATTTAATAGTAACCAAAGTCATTTAGTCTAAACATGGAAATAATACTAGAAGAATGGAACTGACTGCTAAACCTTGTATAATTGAAAATACTAGAAAATTATCTAGTTTATTTAATGTTAAACACAAGGTTGTTTGAATATGCATTCAGGTGTAGTTTATAAATTGAAATGTACTGATTATTATTGTAGCTATTATCATACCGTTTGAAAGTGTTAATTACGGCGAGGCATGCACCGGTTTCGGTTTTTAACCGATTAACCCAAACCGATCATAAATGAAACCGGTCACAGCCGAAATCGGTCATAACCAAAAATGTTGCACAAGTTCTTCAAAATACGTTTGACACAATATGAAGGAAATATCTATTGTTCACATTAGACTATGTTCAGCTCAAACTGGAAAGTTCTTTGCAAAAAAGAAGGGGCGTGGGGCACCCTTAAGTTGATCATTACAGCTCCATTAAAACTAAAATGTGGTACAAATGTGATACTCATATAAACTTAATTAATAAACAGCTTAGACGTCACATTGTACTAGAATATAACGAGAAAAGTGGAAGAGGGACAGTTAAAAAATTGTTTTGATAGGAAACAAACACTATCACAACGATCAGCAAGGTCGAAGACCTAAAAAGTCAAATACAAATGTTTCGTAGGTGAAAATTCTTTTTTTGCGATTTTTAGGCTCAGAAACTTCAGAAAACTTTTTGAAAATCAACAAATGATTTAGAACGACAGGGAATTGAATTCTGAATAAAATGAAATCCTTTTGAGAATTTTGTAAAGTTGTACTCCAGAGATATGAATTCAAAAGTACTTGATAAGAAGTTGCTAATTACTTCTAGGAGATTTTAGGGATTTGCGAAGGATTTATACCACAAAAAGTTCTCAAAAGAACTCATTTTGTTCAGAATTCAATTCTCTATTCGTTCTAAATCATTTGGTTCTCAGAAGCTTTTCTGTAGAGACGGTTTTCTAGAAAACCCATTAAATGTTTTTAGAAAATTCTGAAAGGATTTCCGTTCAATTTATCATCCCTAGAAAACCAAATTTTCATAGGATTTGAATAAGAATTGGTTGTTTTCTTGTCAAATCAGGCGTACAATTTTGTGCAAAACGATCTACTTTTGAATGAAAGTCAGATATTTCGAGCATGAAAAGGAATTTCGAAAAAAGCTCTTCCTACTTTTAACGTGCCTTTTAAGATGGCTCGAATGGCATAGGACCAGGTCTCCATCTCTTTACAGAAAAAATTAGTTAGGTTTGCAAGTTGGACTTTTAGTTACCTCACTTCAAAAATCCGCCTATATCCCACCTTAGGTGTTGAAACTCAGACAGCTAGTGTACCATATTCACTTTTTCACGGCGATTCCGGAAAACACCCCACCGACCTTTCAAAGCGATTGGCTGAGATATTGCATCTGAAAGTAGAGAGTTTTCTAAAAGAAGAGACCCTCGCACCATCTTCAAATTTTCTCCAAAAAACCGTTCACTAAATAAGCAAAAAATAGCATGTGCGTGATCATCAGCTTCCGGGCTACCATGCCATGTGCGTTTAATCCAAATGATGTGGAAACTTCGAATTGGCGGCGCCTTGCTTATCAAGTACTAGCGGAGATTTGCAAGTTAGCAAGTACCCGCCCGCAAGTACATTCACTAGGGTTCCATTCACCTTGTCTTACAAAACACAATGAAAAGAGCCAGAGGTGTGTGTGCCTGTTTAGCTCAGTGGTAGAGCGTCGCTCTCGTAAAGCGAAGGTCACAGGTTCAATCCCTGTAGTAGGCATAAAATTTTTTTTGTTCTGTAGACTGAAGTTCTCTATCTATTAGTTATCTACTCAAGAGGACGATTATAATACTTTTGTTCCTGGAACAATGGTATAATTTGTGTCGTATGCAGGTTCTAGAGTATGCTGATCATTGTTTAAGTGTCGTCTCATGGTATATGCATGACTGACGGCTTATCGTGCTAGAAATGCGAGTTTGTGTATTCGACGCAATCTTTTGCGCTGATTCCGAATATGATATTTATTTTACTTCTCGACAAAAGTATGATGATCAAAATTGCTGAATACGAGCAAATTTTTGTAGTGCCGATGAAACCGAAAAATTTTATTTCCTCAAGAATCACATATCACCGGATCGAAAAATTTTAAAAGCTTGTTCGGTCAAAACCGATTGCGGATTCGCCTTCTCCATGGTTGATTATGTGGTACGCGATAACTTCTGGATCGAAGTATTTTAGAAAAATTTTTCGATATCGTTTTGCCTTTGGTCCCACACGGGAACATTTTGAAAAAATTTTGAGCAAGACCGTGGGAATTTTTTTTTCTAAAGTATCCCGATCCAAAAGTTATTGCGTACCACATAATCAACCATGGAGAAAACGAATCTGCAATCGGTTTCGACCGAACAAGTTTTTGAAATTTTCGATCTGGTGATATGAAATAATAAATGGGTATTTCGGAAGCCTGTGTTTCAGCCGCACTAATGAGGTAAGACACTTGGCATTAGCTCTGCGTACAAAAACTATCGATAGGTTTACAAAGCCGTGTAGAAACACCCCCGGTAGGGG